TCCTAAGAATGTCCTCTTCCCCCACCCACTTTTTCTCTTTTCAAAGGTTTAAGTAGAATATATAAGGAACTCTTACAACTGAATAATAAAAGGACAAATAACCCAATTTAAAAGTGGACAAAGGATCTGAATAGACATTTCTTCAGAGAAGATATACAAATGGCTAATAAGTACATGAAAAGATGGTTAACATCATTAATTATGAGGGAAATGCAAATCAAAACTACAATGAGATACTGGGATGTTTGTAATAAAAAAAAGTAGTGATGTGTTGTCAAGGATGTGGAGAAATTGGAACCCTCTTGCATTGTTGGTGGGAGTGTAAAATGAAATGGTGCAACCAGTTTGGAAAGCAGCCTGGCAATTCCTCAAAAGGTTAAACACAGAGTTACCATATGACTCAGCTATTCCACTCCTAGATATATGTCCAAGAGATTTGAAAACATAGGTTCAAAAAAGCCTCATAAGTGAATGTTTATATCAGAAGTAGTCATAATAACCAAAATTTAGAAATAACTCAAATGTCCATCAAATGATGAATGGGTAAGCAAAATGTGGCATACCCATGGAGTGGAATATTATTCAGCCATAACAAATAATGAAGAATGATTTGAATGATGTCACCAATAATGATGGAATAGAGAACTCCAGGGCTCCTTGAATGGTTGTAATTAGCCACTGAATGAAGTCCACATTCTTTAACATGACTCACAAGGTTTTGAAGTTCTAATCCCTACCCATCTGGTATGGGTTGTGTCCCCCCCAAAAAATTCATGTAGAAGTGCTAAACACTCATACCTCAGAATGTGTCCTAATTTGGAAATAGGACCATTGCCAATGTATTTAGTTAAGATGGGGTCATTAGGGCGGGCCCTAATGCAATATGACTGGTGTTTTTATAAAAAGGGGGAGTTTGGACACAGGGCCACATGCATAGGGAGAACACCATGTGAAGATGAAGGCAGAGATTGGTGTAATGCTTCCACAAGGCAAGAAATGCCAAAGATTGCCTACAGACCACCAGAAGGTAGGAGAGTGGCATGGGACAGATTCTTCCTTAACAGTCCTCAGAAAGAATTAACCCTTAACCAATTAAGACCCTTTGATCCCAGACTTCTACCCTATGGAACTGTGAGACATTAAGCTTCTGCTGTTTAAGCCACTTAGTTTGTGACACTTTGTTATGGCAGCCCTAGAAGAGTAATACACTATCTTTCTAGCTTCATCTATTATTTTTTCTTTAACCTTTATACTTCAGCAACAACAGCTTCCTTGTATTTCCTTTGTGTAGACCTTATGTTTCTAGTGTTTTTGTTTTTGCTTATTCTATTCCTCTACCTGGAATGTCTGGAATGTCTTTTTGGCCTGGCTAATTCCTACTTACCCTTTAAGATTCAGGGTAGCTATTCTTTTTTCCAGGGACCCTTCACTGATCACTCTCCACCTGGCTGGTGTAATTGGCCTTCCCAGGGGCTCCCACATATCCTGGGCACCTCCCCAGCTTTGCACTTTCCAACCATATTATCATTTTATGGTTTGTCTGCCTCCCCTCACCTCACACAGTGACCTATGAACTCCTTGAGGAAAGGGTCATCAAAATCCCAGTGCTTAGCACAGTATTCTTTGCATATAGTAGATGTGAATGAAGGGACTTTTTCCAGTATTTATTCATTTTCTTTCTTCCCATAGCACTTCAGTAGTAAGGTGCTTCTCATATGATGGGTGCTTATTACATCTTGACCACTGGTTCTCAACAGAGGACATTTGGCAATACCATGAGACATTTTTGGTTGTCACTACTGGCATCTAGTGGGTAGAGGCCAGAGATGCTGCTAAACACCCTATTCACAGGACAGCTCCCCCACCCCCTGCCAACAAAGCAAAATGTTGTATTGCAGAGGTGGAGAAACCCTGATCTTGACCGAATAAGAGACTGAATCTACTTTTTACAGCCATACTGTAGGCCACTAGTGCACTAAATTTGCTTTGTCAGGAAGCCTTATTTTGTTTTTGTTTTTGTTTTTAACAAAAGTAAACTATTATCAGACAAGAAGAGGGCATGTCCTGGTATCCAGAATTAAGAGTTTGACAATTGAAAAATACCTGATCAATAAGAGAACAGACATATAAATCACAATATCTTTATGTCTGGAAAGCTCTATAGCAGTGTAAATGAGTGAATTACAGCTACATATGTCAACATGGATAAATCTCCTAAGCATACTGTTGAGTGAGGAAAGCAAATTGTGGAAGGTACATATAGTTATTTATGTAAAGTACTACATATTGTTTAGGGATAGACATATATATAGTAAATGTATAAACACATGGAAATGATCAAGGTCAAATCTGGTATAGTGAAAACCTTGGGGTGTAGGTGTATCCAGAGGTCTTCGATTGTAGTGGTAATGGCTTCTTTCTTAAGCTGGGTAGTAGGCATATCCTTGTTGTTACATTATTTTCTATACACCTATGTAGTTTTGAAGTATTTAATACTTTTATGAAAGAGCAATTACTCAATAGTCACTTGGAGCTGTCCTTGGAGCTGAGGAAATATCTCCATCTTACTAGTTTGCATTAGCCAGAATTCCCTCATTGTGGCAAAATCCAACAACTCATTGGATCCAATCATTCACTATGGGACAGGAGCTTTAGAAATTATACTAGAATAAGAATCTGTAAGCTCCTGTCTGCACTGTTGCACAGGATGGTGCCTGGGTTTGCTTGCATTGGACCCCTCACAGTATTTGTTATAAGAATTTGAGCACAGAATTCTTGTGGCAAACAAGGAGGATCAGACACAGTTTGCAAAACACAGAATCTGTGTGAACAGGCCCTTGCCCGACTTTGTTTTGGTTCATCATTTATGCTTGTCTCTCTCTGTGTATGTAGCTGGTTCAGTGGGACCGTCTTAGAGTAAAGGAGTCAGATCCTCACATCGTCTTTAGGGAGGTGTACCTTGGAGAGTGAGAAATTGCACATGTAGAAAGAAGTAAAAACTTTAAATATATGGAGACTTTGCAGAGGAATAAGGGGATTGGACTAAATGTTTCCTGGAGTCCCTTCTGGCAAAGGGTATCTGCAGCTCCTGCTAAGCATACCTGTAAGGAAGGGAGTGTGTAAGTGCTAGGTCTGACTTCCCACGGGCCTAGTTAGGCAGGTGGAGCACATCCAATGCCCAGGGCTGAGCAGAAGGGCCCTGAGGGCTGAGTTGGCAAAGCTAGAGAAAACAAATGGATTTCCTTTTTGAAGTGGCTTCTTCACACTTCAGGCTGTGGGCAGGGTACTAAAGGGCTAAAGTATAGAAAAAAATTCTGGGTGGAGGCTGGGAGCTGAATTTTATGGTTTTTATCTGCTAACATTAAAATGATTTTTTCTTTCCTTTTAAGATTAAAAAAAAAAACCCAACACATGATCATTATCAGAAAGTTGAAAAAATACAGAAAAGTAGGAGGGAAACAAAAAATTGATTTAATTCAACCACCTAGAGACAGTCACTATTAGTATTTTGCATGTTTCCCTCTAGTCCTTTTTCCATGCATTTCCATTAATTATTGTGATCATATTTATATCAGATGTTGCATCCCACTCTGAATTAATATTGGAACATAAGCATTTTCCTATCATTGTAAACTATGTGTAAAAATCAGTTTTATTGAATATAATATTCCACAGCATGATTTTACTATACTTTCCTTAATCATTGAAACATTAGGGGTTTTTTCCCCCTAGTATTTTATTATTCTAATACCTGGGTTAACATCATTATACAAAAAATTTGTGTACATTTCTGTTTCCTTAGGACACATCCATTATTTATTGTACAAATATTAATGAGGACCTACCATGTGCCAGGTACCATGCTAGGTGCCAAGTTTCTGCCTTGGAGGGCATGTTGTCATTCATTGATACAAAACGCTGGAGGATGAGCAAATTTAAGAGAAAAAGTTGATGGGTTTGGCTTTGGATGTGTTGAGTTTGAGGTGCCTGTGAGACATCCAAGTGGAGATGTCAAGAAGGCAGAACTCAGTGAAAAGGTGTGGCTAGAGCTCTGAAGTTACAGTTATATGGATGGTGATTCAAGTTAAATGAGTAAAAGAGATCATTTGGGGAGAGAGTATATGTAGCCTTGCTCTGAGAATGTCTGACTTTCAGAGGTTGCATAGCAGAAGTGGAATTTACAAAGGATACTGTAGAGAGGGCAAAGGAGTAGGAGGAAAAGCAAAAGAGTATGTGTCATAGATGCCACAGGAAGACTTTTAAGCAGGAGGAAATGATTGACAGTTAAATGTGGGGGGGGGGAGGTCAAGCAAGATAAGGACTGAAAATGCCCTATTTATTTATTGACATAGAGGTCATTGATTAGGTGTTCTGTTGAGCACAGTTTCAGTGGAATGTTGAGGAAGGAAGCCAAATGGCTAGCAAGAAGTGAGGGAATGGGTATAGAAAATGTACCTCTGAAGTACACTTTCAATAACTTTACCCATAAAGAGGGGCTGGAGAGGTACCTAGTGTGTAGGAAGGAATTTTTTTGTAAGGATGGTAGAGACTTGAGCATGTTTAATTGCTGATGACAGATGAGAGGGACTTGAGCATGGTTAATGGCTGATCCGAGGAAGCGAGGGGGGGGGGGAATTTGCAATATCTGGGTAGGTATAAAAATTTCAAGTCTACTGACTTAATATTGTTCACATGCCTTCTAGAAAGGGTTTTTAACCAACATACATTCCTAGCAGCAATTATGAGAGAGCTTGTTGGATGGTCACTTTCTCATCATTAAGTGTTACAAAAACAAACAAAAAACCATTGCCAAAGAATCTCATTATTGTTCTAATTTGCTCATCTTTGATCACTAGTGAATCGAATGTTGTAAATAGTTGTGTCCGTTGTGTGTGTGCGAGTTTCATCTATGTCCTTTGCCCAAATTTATATGTTAGACAGACATTTTTATTTGCCACAAAAGGTCGAAAGTCAAAGATCAGAATGGTATCATATTTTACCTCCCCGAATTATATGGTCTAGAGTCTCCATCTTCTTAGAAGTACACGACAGTTTGACAGTGTCGGCTCGGCGGAGCGGAAGAGGCAGGTGATTTATCATCTGAAGAAGAGAGTGAGCCCAGATGGAAGTGAAAGTGGGGCCCGGTCTAGTCGTAAACCCCTATCCTCAGTCCTCAAGCTCCCTTTCCTAACTTGGGAGGGCACCCCGCCTTCTCCGCCATGCCTTAAAGCTTTGGCTCTTAGAGCTCCCCTCCGGGTGGCGGGGCCCCTCTGCTACGGAGCCCGGAGCTCTGTGCGGCCCCTTTAAGAGTCCAGCTCCTCCCCGCTCCAGGGAAAGTTGCAGCTTTTTCCGCCTCCCAGGAGGGTGAGAAGGACCGGCTGCCGGAGCGGGCTTGAGGTCTTCTTGGAGCCCGAGACCCTCCCCTGAAGCTGGGACTGGGACGTCTCGCCTTTTCGCGGCACCTGTTGCAGGTGACAGGTAAGTCCGCTGCTAGCGGCCGCCCCTTGGCCCCCGGTCCCGGGCTCCTCCTGGGCCCCCAGCCCCCTTTCGCTGCCTAAGCTCCCCCCCACCCCCTCCCGACTCAGGACCGGCGCTTTTCCCTGCCGCTACCCGCTCTCCCAGTCTTTCCTTCTCCATAGCTGACCGGCTGTCCGCTCTCCCCTGTCCACCCCTCCGGAACGCACCCCCACGCTCTGACTCCGGTCGGCCTGGGGCGGTCCCTCCCCGCCAGTTTGCTTTCTCCCGGGCCTCTCTGGCCCCTTCCTTGGCCCACCTGTCGCTAACTCGGGCTGTGCCCCTCCGGGCTCTGCCTCTCCCTGTGTCGCCTCGCGCGGAGTGGCCCGGCTTTTCCCGCCTGCTGGATGGAGCAGCAGCCGCTCCCGAGAGCTGGCCCTGGGGGCGGGGATGGGGCCGAGTTCCTAGCGGGTATTGCGTCCTCGGAGGCGTCGAGTCATCTTTTCAGCGGTTCCCCTTGCAGCACACGGCCACCGCGCGGGGTCTCGGCCCCGCACTGCTTTCCGGACCTCGGACCTCGCGGTGTGGGTTTCCCTGGCCTGGGAGGATCAGCCATAGGTTAAGGCTGGAGGCCGGTCGGCCCTGAGTCCTGCCTCAGTGGGCTCCCTCTGCGCTTGGGGCTGGGGAACCGGCTGTGTGTTCTGGAGCTGAACTGCTTTCTCTTGCCACCCTGAAAACAGGCAAAGGCGATTTGCTCCCGGAGGAGCCCACCCCAAGTCCTCAGAAGAGGCACAGAATACTTATATCTTCTGTGATAGTTTGTGAAGGGGCACAAAAGACGTTCCTCCGGCCCCTAACGTTGAATGGTTGGGTTTTTTTGGTAGTGAAATAATTTGGTTAGAATCCTGGTGGCTTGAACAGGTGATCTGTTTCTCATTAACCAAACTTTTTTCTCCCCCAGTACCCAGCTAATTCAGGACCAGAGGACTTAGCATTCCAGAATACTGTTTTGGCAGGGTTGACCCTAGACCTCATGCATCTGTAGCAGAAATTAGTTTTCAGTACATCCTGGACCTCCTATTTTTAACTGGCTTCTTTTCTGCTCTTTCAGCTCCCCACCCCCACCCCTCATCAATTCATTAATATTAAGGTGTTAATGCCCTAATGTGTTTACCCATGTTGGGCTGTGGAGAGAACAATGTTTAATTCAAAGACTTAAGGCCCTGATGAAGTTTTTTGTTGGAGTTGGAGGTTTTTTTTTTTTTTTTTTTT